CCGCTGCGGCGGCCAGTAGTAAAAGCCGCGAACATCAGGTCACCATAGAAGCACCATGACCGTTCCTCTAACGTTACCTTATTCACCGTTACCGTTCACCTATGCTCTCCATGTTAGAGTTAGTGCCAGATAATTTTTTTTTCACTTCCACTGGTGGGATTACCGGGCGTTGGCTTCTGTAGTGAGAGTCCGAATGAAAGTATGGATGGACCGACGGAAAAAACTTTATTTAGAACAGCTGCTTGGTGTCAGACCAGGCTCAAGCCACCAGTACATTATGTGCAGTAAGACGTAGTCTTTCCACCGCTGCCCGGGCGTGTTGGATTCCCTACAGTTGCTCGTGCACATCTGTGCAAGTCCGAAAACTTAGCCATTGCTCCTCAAGGAGTTGCAGACCTATATTGTGCTCTCGGTATAGGACCATTAGCTGTGCGCGTTGCCTTAGATATGCGTCCTATCTGTGTGTTCGTATATGCACAGGTTATCGCGTTATTACGATAAATAAAGCGTTTGATAACGGCGAATTAACAACCAGTCATGGTAAAATGCAAATAGCGCAACGAGTGGGCCGTCCAATGCTCCAACCCATTACAAAAGCTTGTTTTTGCTGCCCTAATTACTCTGTCGCACACCCACTCCAGCCATAGCGCATTATCGTCAGCCACTGCATGAACAATTGGCACAAAGTTCCTTGCAAGTGTTTAGCGGATACCAGGCTTCACAGAAGAATGACATAAAACAGCATCGAATGCCGGTCTAGTACCCAAAAATTATTATAATGCCCTAGTGGGTATCAAGCAAGTGTGCTTGCAGTGGTTACCCAATAAGTGTTTTGAAAAGGCTCTGAAAGGCCGCTTTTTTATCTTTCGCTTTGACTGTGCTGTGCCTTATGCGCAGTCCTGCCGTTTTTTCACCGCATGGTTACCATTGTGCCTAGTGTGCTGCGCCTGAATAACGGAAAGGATACCGTATACAAGCTGCCTACCTGGTTGTCGATCCAGTTACATAATAAATGATGAAAAACTCTCCAAGTCCATGCTGCCTACAGAGAGTGATCAGCGGGAAGAGTGGAAGTGTGTCGCAATACCACGACAAAAGGCTCGCGGTTTCACATTTGATCCCCGAATGTGTGCGTGTCAGAAAAAAGTTTTTATGCGAGTGACATCTTTTGCTGAACTAGTGGCTAATGAAACGTGGTGTTGTAAAGTCACCGCGCGACATTACAAAAATCAAGCCGACGCTGTCGCGAGGATTTCGCACAGTGTCACGGCGTATTTGTACAGTGAAAAAAGATGTAGAGCTTATGCACCTGCCAAGTGTCGACGGCAGCCGTCAGCGAGCTGTGCACTGTTCAGGCTGCATTGACCCAATGCACGAGCATTTTTGACGTAACTGCAATGGATAAAGGCGCATTTATTGAACTTGAGCATATGCCTACGTCTTCCTCGTTCTATGCCAGTGGGTAATACAGAATGCCGATGAATGAAATGCTCGCCGTTTTTGTTGATACAGGCACTAAGCTTATCAAGAGATTAGAGCTGATAACCCGAACAGGCGGAGCAACATGCAGCCCCTCACAGCTTGAAAAAATGAAAGTACACATCTGTTGCATGCAACAGAGACTTCAGCGCTACCACTAGACGTTTGCTAGGGGGATTTTCCAAGAGTGGTTGTACCACAATGCTGTACAAAACTTGCTCAAGCTGTAAAAGCGTGCAAAGGAAAATTTCGATTTCAGTGCGTGATGAGCACGACAAGATAACTTTTTCTGTCACATTGTTGACCCCTCCAGAGTGGATCGTAGTTGGTCAATTTTCATGTTTGAGGAGGCATTTGAGGCTTCAGCCTTTACAGTAAAAATAATCAAAAAAGGCATAGCAAAACAGCATGAGTAATCTACACATAAGAGCAAAGAACCGAAAAACTACATTGCATGGCCAACCGAACTTAGAACGCGCTAGAGCAGCGTAGTGATAAATAACGCAAAAGAAAACACAACAGCGAGGTAAACGTAATTGGAAGTACTGTTCGATCTTCAAGAATTGCTGAATTACTAGCACAGATTCATTCAAAGTGGCCGTTGGTTAAGTAGGCGAGAGGCGATTTCAAGATATGTATCTTCGTATATTGAAGCACCGAATGTGTATATATAGCCTGAATGGTTCGATATGCGCCATCAAAAGTTGCAACTTCTTCCGTGATGCGTAAAAAACCACCAAAGTCGTTGGATAAGTCGGGATTGTACACAAATATTCACTAGATGCTTCATAGAAAAAAGTAAGCATGCTTTTATAGCGGTAGAATATCTTACAATGCAATCAGCGTGCCTTCAAATTTCTTGCTTAAGGTCCTAATTCGATCCTGAACTTCACTGTGTTGCAGTTTTCCCGAATTCCCTTGAAACTTGCATCACTATGAAGACGTATTCTACCTTCACGAATAATTTGATAACTTTGCACAGCTTCGGTGCGTGCCGTACAATTTCAGCGCCCCAGCCGCTCCGATGCCCGGATGGATTAGAGGATGTATCCGGCTGTGCCTTTTGGATCGGGTGGCGGCTGACTGTTATAACGGCCTGTAGTACGGCCATGATAAGTTGCTACTTTAGCGCTCACAAAATATTATTTTTTCTACAAAGAAGGCATTGCAGCCTCAGCTACACACTTAACAAGATATACCAATAAGCGTGTAAACTATATAGAAAAACAACACGAGTTATACAGCCCCCGTAGCACAATCCAATCAGCGAAACAGCATTTGTAAGCAACTGCTCAAAGGTGGTCCTAAACATAAATTTCGTCCTTCGTAAATATTATCCGATACTGACAAGCAAAGAGTGCCTTAGAAAAGTCTCTCCTGGAGTAGCACAGGCGCGGGACGCCCGCCATAGGAATCCTAAATATTAGTGCAGGCAAATGTAAACGCACATTCTATTCACAAGGCTACACCTTCTTTTGTCCAAGATGCAAGACTCGCAAAAACCTCCAAGATTACGTGATAATTGAAAACACTGCAAGTGACTACGTCCAACACATGGAATCTGGTTTTACCTGAACTACTTTAAATGTTTTCTACATAATGTAATGCTCATATTGTCACAAATGGTACACTAGCGAAACGGGACAGACCATTATTGTTCGATAAAGTGCTCGCTACGCGGATATGAAAAAGGAATTAGTGAAAGTAGCGGCTTAGCATTTTAACGTAGCGGGTCACAACTTCAACAATCTCACACATTACATAGCTCAGTGGAAATATCGGCCCACAAGCGACCAAAAATATACTCTCATTTTTTTATTCATAAGTTCAGGTCACCTTCAGTCAGCAGGCATGAATGTCAAAGAAAAGGACTCTTAAATTACTTGATAAAGTACATCGACAAAAAAATTGAGACTTGAGTCCTTCCATAACCTCTAATGTATCGTAGTTAAATGGTGTGTCAACGTCTCACAACCATGGTTTTGTGAAGCCCCCCGCCCCACACCTTCCTCCGATTTATTCCTCTCTATTTATTAAAGGAATACTTCTTCCCTTTTCACTCACACAACTCCTCCCGGCACTCCTCCCCACAATCCCTACCCACATATTCATAGTTGCCCTCTTATCGTCTTTTGTTAAGATGGAGGAAAGGATACGAAGCACGTACACGCTAGCGCTAAGGAATTCCATCTAGCCTTAAAGAAGATATGTCCACTTCTCGAAACATCTTCTTTACGTATTTTTTGTATAACAAGCTTCTAACTTCTTTTTGATAGCTTTGTTTTTACCATAGTAGTCAGAAGTTGGACGTTCTCTACTGCAGTTGTTTTTAAAATCAGCTTTGCTGCCTGATTTCAAACAATTTTGAAACCTAGCCTAATATAAGCTTGCAAATTACACGTACGTATTTACTATGGCCGTTTACCTTTTTACCTTTTATATTGATTTCTGGTTCCTTTCGCTCAACGGTCCCAGGCAGTGCCATGTCAAGTGTACGCATGTACATTGTGTGTCACGCATAAATTGAGACACCTGTCCAAGATGCAGTTCTCGATGAAGGCAAAACTAGTGCGTCATGATTTAACTAGACCTGAGCTACTTTATGGCATTTTGTTCATTAACACAGTTTTTGCTGTTACGCAACAGCGATAAACCCATGATTGTATAAAATTACTATTGCTTTCATCTGTAGCCAATTATTTTAATAAATTACTAAGAGTTAACGTTATTACAGAGTATAAAAGCGCACGTAGGAACCTCAATAAAGTGTATATTTATTGTTCAATCTCATGATAGTCTATACGGAATTAGAATCTGTTTGCAGATGCGAAAACATTGTGAAAAGAGAGCAACGGGCATCCTTAATGAGAAGTGGTCAGGAGGCTGCACCTTGAAGCATCTCTTGCTTATTTCCCTGCAGCAGTATCGACCATGGTGGCATTTTCTCATGAGCAACTCAACAGATGGTATTTCTGTTTGTGATTTTTGCCTTTTTCTTGTATTTTTATGTCACTGCGGAAGCGGTATATTGAACCACTGCAGGGAAATAGGTTTAATGATGCATAGCAAGCTGTGACTCAAACAATTGCTGTGACCGTCAGTCATCTCGTATTGTAAAAAATTGCTTCGTGATAGTGTGCAGCTGTTCATTCAAACACGAACACTTGAAAAAAGACCTTGTTGAGAAATAGGCATCTTGTTTAAAGACGATGCGTAGTTTTTAAACGAAAGTTCAAGCCTATTTTGCCTGCGATCTTATTAAATGATATAGCTGTCTTCTGGGACCATAAAAATGTCCAAAGTAGCAGATCATCCTGAATAACGCGGTTCGGGTTGATAATGCCTAAATAAATTGTCAATCAAGCTATTCAGTGAATCATTAAGACAGGCTCATATGTTTTTAGTGTCAAGTAGCGGTGTCATTTCCAAAGAGAGACAACTCATGGTTCTTATACGGTTTGCTATACGCAACATGCAAAAATGTGTCGGTAAATACACCATAGACACTGTAAATATAATAGTTCATAAGGCAGGAAGCACAATAAGTTTATTGTGATAATCTTTATGAAAATATTTACTTATTGCGGTTATTGTAATTCACGACGCTGGAAGCTGTTCACAAAATAAGAGTGAGTTTACCATCACTGGCTTGACAGTCCTCATAATTGAATTCTGTTGCGTTGTTACGGTTGCAATATGTCTCAAAATTTGTTTTGCAGAGTTCTTGTTCTTGAGGTTCACTTTTCAAGTACTTGTCGTTCACCCATAGTTCACAGGCGTCGTAGTAATCTGTGGGAATGTACTTGACGATTAGTCTCGCTCTCAAAAAGAAAAGACAAAAAGTATTTTTCTGTGCCTCTCGACGTTTTTAATGCCTTGGGAGGTGGTGCGAATGCTGTATATTGTGTTCCATTATTTTGCCGTGTCCCTATAGCTCTCGGGTAATAAAGATTGAAATTATTGAACAAGCGTGCACGTACTATTGTTCAATAGTACGTGCATGCTGTTATTTTCTAGCTCAAATATATGCCTCCAAAACAATAATTGTATTAATAAATGCTAGGGCTTTCCTTTATCGCTTCGTAGTTGTAACGTGTCACTCTACAGGAAGCAACCAGGATCCATCACACTAGCCTGATTTTGATACCACTGGCGCTGTTCTTCGCAGTTCTTTGCAAATCGGCATTGATATATACGTGAGGTCCACGTTCGGCGGCTTAATCTTACGCGTACAGCCACTCTGTACAATAAACGCATCAGATACAATAAACTGATGGCAAGATGGCAAGATAGATTATTGTATCTTTCGAAATGATGACAAGATACAATAAATTTGCCATCAGCGCAACGAAACACATGCAAAGCTAGCTTCTTACAACGGTCTTTTCATAGGGCCACTAGCCAACATACGTCTACGATTTGCGAAAATTTTTGAGACGGCTTTCCATTAGGTTTTTTTTGAAGCCCTTTCGTTCACGAATTCTTTTTTCGCTCGCTATGGTTTAGCAACTTCCGGTTTCAGTAAATGTGCGTAAAATACAGACCAACCATGAGGTGCCACGTTGCTATAAGAATCACTGTAAAAAAAATGGCAGCATATCCACGGAGTGAATGATTGATAGTGGGGCGAAGCATCCATTCATCCACTCGTTCTTGCTTCCGTACATCCAAGCATGCGTCTGTGTGGCCACCCGTGTGTCCATCCGCCCGTCCGTGCGTGTTTTTGTTTGTGCGTCCGCACGTTCATCTGTGCGCCCGTCCCTGCTTTTGTCCATGCATCCGCTCCTGCATCCGTTCATGCGTCTATCCGTCCGTGCAGCCATCCGTGCGTCCGTCCATGCATCTGTCTGTGTGTTCGTTCGTCCCCCTATTCAGCACTCCAAGTACCACCATCTCGCATCTTTTCATCATATATTCCTCATATGGAAGCACCGCCATCCAGCGGAAATTCCAAGGACTGAACGAGAGGAGGCACACGCACACTTTCTTACGGCTTGCGCTTCGTGTCTACTTCCCCCCTTTAACCACCTCGAGTTCATGGTATATACTAGTTCACTGTATTCATGGCACTGCGGCCCAACGCTCGCTAAACCTTTCTAAAACTAAGGAGATTATGCCCAGCGAGTATGACGTAGCAACCCTTTCTTGTCAGATAGTGCTCAATGTACATGCCAATGGCTGCTAAAAGGGATGAGACAGGAGAATTCGTCTTTTAGTTAACGCGCGCGGTGCTAATTTTTTATTGTTCAACAACGCACAGAATTAATCTCTCACTGGCACCGCATTGGAGGTAATTGTAAGACTGGTTACACACTATGAATACTACTACGACTACGAGGGACAAACGGGTGCCGCTATAAGGAGCTTCGCCCCTAAAAGAGGAACCATCAGTTTTCGGTGTATCGCAACGTCCACGTCTCAGGCTCCAAATGTTTGGAACGTTGCGTTCGTCAGCTAAAATTCTTAACACTCGCTCTTTCATCATAGTAGTAGTAGTAGTAGTAATAGACCTTTATTCAGCCAAGTTTACAAGTTTACAGGCCGAGCATTTTGACCACCTATGCGATCAGTGGACGCTGTTCTTCTTCCCCTTCGGCGCCGATCCAGTCGAGCCAGGAGGTGATGGAAAGGGATGGGGGAGGGTAATAGCTGGATTGCTGAGCAGTTGGGCAGTAAAACAGGCAGTGTGACAGGTCAGCGTATAAAGAGGGACAATTAGGACAGCAGGGGTTAGACCTATATTTAAAGAGGAAAAGGTGAGAGGGGGTTATCAGGCAATTCATTCGGATGTACCGTAGAGTTCGAGCCTCGAGCGCAGTGAGTGATGGATGAGGGGGAGGGTAAAGACGCTTGTCGAGCCGGAGCTGGAGATATACCTCCTTGATAGTGTGACGCAAGGAGATCTGCCCATCGTTATTCGCGGAGCTCTCACTGTCTTCCGAAGGTGTGGGCCAGGGAATGAACGGTGCCCGGTGCAATATATCGCGGGCAAGCTGATGAGCTAGCTCATTGCCGTTAATACCCGAATGCCCAGGAACCCAGTGGAGAAAGACAGTGGAGGGTTGAAGAGCAGAGACCGCTCGCTCGACCTCCTGTTGAAGAGCAGGGGGCAACGTGTTGTTCTGTATCTGACGGATGGTGGCGTGAGAGTCGGAGTAATTCGTGTACTCGGGGAGAGAAGAGAGGGAGGAAAATGACTGCATGGCGTGGACCATGGAAAGTACCTCGAGCGAAAGTACCTTTGGCGGGTGTAAGTATGGCCCGCCGGTGTGCGTGTCAAGTGCCGAAAGGTGTGGATGGTAGATAACGTAGCCACACGAGCCCCGAGGAGCCATGTATGAGGCATCCGTGTAGGCAACTCCCTGTGTAGAGAGATGAGGATAATGATGCTGTGCTGCCGCATGACGCCGGTCGGCGTGAAGAACGGGAGACATATTGGATGGGAGGGGAAGGATGCGAAGGTTAGAAGCAGCGGTGCTAGCGGCAGAAGGCAAGGTGGGAACGGAAACGGGAATGTGAGGGATACCGGCTTGGGCTAATAGCCATTAACCTTGACGAGTGAGAGAAAGACGGGCAATCTGAGAGTCGTGGTGCAGAGAAATAAGAGAACGTAATGGATGGAAGAGGCCTGTAGAAAAGAGCTTAGTGGTAGAGGTAGTGAGAGGAAGGTTTAGAGCTGCCTTGTAGAGGCCTAATAGAGCTCTTTCGGGTGTGTTGAGTTGCATTTCGGTGAAATGAACGAAGAGTACAAAGTAAAAGAACTTGTTAAGGGCAAGCGCATGTGCAACCCGGCACGCATGAGCCTCGTGGGGCCCCGACTGCCGAGTGACAACGCGTCACAGGAGGTGGGTCACCGAGTGGCAAGTCCTCACAGCGTGATGTAGGGCCTGGGCGTTCTTTGTCGCGTGCCAAGGGAAGCCAAGAACTTTGCATTGCTGAACAGTGAGGATTAGAGAGCTAGAAAGATGTAGGGAGATGAGGGTATTGTGGTAGCGCTGGTACGCCGACCGGTTTAGCAAAAGTAGTTCACATTTCTCCGGTGCAGGGGACAGGCCAGCAGTAGCGAGACAGGAAGCGATAAGGTCCAGGCCACGTTGCAAAGTATCCTGCACGTGTCCGGGACATCCAGACGTACACCAGACAGTGATGCCGTCTGCATAAAAAGTATGGTGGAGGTCAGGTATTTGGGACAGTTGGGAGGCAAGGGGGGCCATAGCCATAATAAATAGAGTAGGAGATAGTACGGCACCTTGAGGAGTGCCACGGGTGAGGGAGTGTGGGTTAGACAAATGAGTATCGACTCTAAAGCGAGCAACTCGATTGGAAAGAAATGATCGGATGTAAGAATACATGCGGGAGCCACATGACAGGGAGGAGAGCTGAGCGAGTATGTGGTCATGACTCACGCCATCGAATGCCTTCCGTACATCGACGGTTACAAGCGCATGGATCTGACTACGAGAAAGTGAAAGAAATGCAAGCTGAAGAACAAGGAACATGTCCTGCGCACAAACGTGGCGTCGAAAGCCAATAAGCGAAGGAGGGAAAACCTCTTTCGCCTCAATAAAATCAGACAGTCGATTCAAGGCCATTCGCTCAAGAGTCTTGCCAACGCATGATGTCAAAGAGATAGGGCGAAGGTTAGAGAGAGATGGAGGTTTGCCGGGCTTCAGAATCATGCAAGTTAGAGATGATGTCCAAGAGCTTGGAAGACAGCCGCTGTTCCTTGCTTCGTTGAATGTGTGTAAGAGAAATTCCTTCGCGTTGTCGGGGAGATTACGTAGTGTCATCATCATCATCATCAGCCTGGCTACGTCCACTGCAGGACAAAGGCCTCTCACATGTTCCGCCAGTTAACCCGGTCCTGTGCTTGCTGCTGCCAATTTACACCCGCAAACTTCTTAATTTCATCTGCCCACTTAACCTTCTGTCTCCCCCTAACCCGCCTTTCTTCTCTGGGAATCCAGTTAATTACTCCTAATGACCAGCGGTTATCCTGTCTACGCGCTACATGCCCAGCCCATGTCCATTTCCTCTTCTTGATTTCAACTATGATATCCTTAACCCCCGTTCGTCCCCTAAACCACTCCGCTCTGTTCTTGTCTCTCAAGGATACACCTACCATTTTTCTTTCCATTGCTCGCTGCGTCGTCCTCAAATTAAACTGAACCCTCTTTGTGAGTCTCCAGGTTTCTGCTGCGTAGCTAAGTACCGGCAAGATACAGCTGTTATATACCTTCCTCTTAAGGGATAATGGCAATCTACCTTTCATAATTTGAGAGTGCTTGCCGAATGTGCTCCACCCCATTCTTATTCTTCTAGTTACTTCAATCTCGTGGTTAGGCTCTGCGGTTATTACCTCCCTAAGTAGACATAGTCTTTTACAACTTCAAGTGCACTATTACCTATCTCGAAGCGCTGTTCCTTTCCGAGGTTGTTGTACTATACTTTCGTTTTCTGCAGATTAATTTTAAGACCCACCTTTCTGCTCTCCCTGTGTAACTCCGTAATCATGAGTTGCATTTCGTCCCCTGAGTTACTCAGCAATGCAATGTCATCGGCGAAGCGCAGGTTACTAAGGTATTCTTCATTAACTCTTATCCCTAACTGTTCCAATTCTAGGCTTCTGAAAACCTCCTGTAAGTACGCGGTAAATAGCATTGGGAAGATTGTGTCCCCCTGCCTTACACCCTTGTTGATTGGTATTCTGTTGCTTTCTTTATGAAGCACTATGGTAGCAGTTGGTCCCCTGTAGATTTCTTCCAGAATGTTTATATATACTTCATCTA